CACGCGCGGGGGGCCCCCCAGCCTGGTCCCGGGAAGAGGGGGAGGGCTGGGGGGCATCGGGTGGGTGGCTCGATCCGTGCCAGGTGCGGGGTCTGCTGGCTGGGTGCTGGCAGGCTTGCACCTGGCACGGGCACCGTAGCCACCCCGTGCCCCTTTAAGGGGTCCAGGGCCAGGAGGGGGGCATAGAGTTTCCCTGGTGTTGGCCAGAGTGGCCACCAGGGAAACCTGGGAAGCCTTAGCCTCCCACTAGTTCGAATTAAGGGTCTTCACAGCCCTTAATTCGAACTAGCTAGTTCGAACTAGGCTTAATCCTCGTAAAATGAGGTTTACCTAGTTCGAACTAAGCGCTCCGCTAGTTCGATTTAAATTCGAACTAGCGGAGCGCTAGTGTAGCGCCTATTAAAGTTAGTTCGAACTAACATCCGTTAGTTCGAACTAACTCTGTAGTGTAGACAGACCCTGACAGATTCTCTGGCCAACTGTGGGGTGACTGGGGTAGCTCTCTGGCCGGGGTGCAGGGCAGAGTGACTGGGGGTACCTCTCTGGTTGGGGTCTAGTGACCGGGGGTAGCTCTCTGGCTGGAGTGCAGGGCGGAGTACCTGGGGTTAGCTCTCTGGCTGGGGTGCAGGGTGGGGTGCCTGGGGTTAGCTCTCTGGCCAGGGTGCAGTGACTGGGGTTAGCTCTCTGACCGGGGTGTAGTGACCAGGGGTAGCTCACTGGCCGGGGTGCAGGGTGCGGTGACCGGGGGTAGCTCTCTGGCCGGGGTGCAGGGTGGGGTGACCGGGGGTAGCTCTCTGGCTGGGGTGCAGAGTGCGGTGACTGCGGGTAGCTCTCTGGCAGGGGTGCAGGGTGCGGTAACCGGGGGTAGCTCTCTGGCCGGGGTGCAGGATGGGGTGACCGGGGGTAGCTCTCTGGCCAGGGTGCAGGGTGAGCTGGCTGGGGGTAGCTCTCTGGCAGGGGTGCAGTGACTGGGGTTAGTTCTCTGGCCGGGGTTCAGGGTGCGGTGACTGTAGGTAGCTCTCTGGCCGGGGTGCAGGGTGGGGTGACCGGGGATAGCTCTCTGGCTGGGGTGCAGTGACTGGGGTTAGTTCTCTGGCCGGGGTTCAGGGTGCGGTGACTGTAGGTAGCTCTCTGGCCGGGTTGCAGGGTGCGGTGACCGGGGGTAGCTCTCTGGCCGGGTTGCAGGGTGCGGTGACCGGGGGTAGCTCTCTGGCCGGGTTGCAGGGTGCGGTAACCGGGGGTAGCTCTCTGGCCGGGGTGCGGTGGCCGGGGGCAGCTGTC